TTATTCTTTTTTTTTTTAATCTTTATTGTTGAATGTAGAATGTATTACAGATGTTCCACATTTTTCCCCCATTGCCCCCTCTTCCCCACTTCCGCCCCCCTCCCGCCTTTTCCCACACTATTGTCTGTGTCCATTGGTTATGCATATAAGTTCTTTGGTTTATTTCTTCCTACCTCCCAACCCCCTTCCCTTTGAGGTTTGTCAGTCTAGCAATAAATTTGTACTTCTTAATCCCTTCACCTTTTTTACCCATTCCCCCAAACCCCCTCCCATCTGGCAACCAACAAAATGTTCTCTGTATCTATGAGAATGTTTCTGTTCTACCTGTTCATTTTGTTTGTAGATTCCATTGTCAATAGATATGTATTCATTGCCATTTTGTTTGTTCATATATTTTATCTTTTTCTTCAAAAAGACCCTTCATCATTTCATATAATAATGGTTTGGTGGTGATGAACTCCTTTAACTTTTTCTTGTCTGGGAAACTATTTATATGGCCATCGATTCTAAATGACAGCTTTGCAGGATAAAGTAATCTTGGTTGTAGGTTCTTGGTTTTCATCACTCTGAATATTTCTTGCCACTCCCTTCTGGCCTGCAAAGTTTCTTTTGAGAAATCAGCTGACACCTAATGGGAACTCCCTTGTAGGTAACTAGCTGCCTTTCTCTTGCTGCTTTTAAGATTCTCTGTTTGTCTTGAACCTTTTGCATTTTGATGATGATGTGTCTTGGTGTGGGCCTTTGGGGTTCATCTTGTTTGGGACTCTCTGTGCTTCCTGGACTTGTATGTCTGTTTCCTTCACCAAGTTAGGAAAGTTTTCTGCCATTATTGTTTCAAACAGGTTTTCGATTTCTTGTTCTCGCCCTTCTCCTTCGGGCACCCCCAAGATGCGAATGTTGGCATGCTTGAAGTTGTCCCAGAGGCTCCTTACACTATCCTCATTTTTTTGGATTCTTTTTTCTTTATGCTGTTCTGATTGGGCATTTTTTGCTTCCTTATATTCCAAATCGATGGTTTGCTTCTTGGTTTTACATACTCTACTATTGAATCTGTGTAAATTATTCTTTATTTCAGTCAATGCCTCCTTCAATTCTGACTGTGCATCCATAATTTCTGACTGGTCCTTTTTTATGCTCTTGAGGCCCTCACTAAGTTCACTGAGGTTCTCACTGAGTTCATTGAGTATCCTTATAAATAGTATTTTGAACTCAGCATCTGTTAGGTTGCTTATCTCCATTTCACTTAGTTCTTTTCCTGGGGTTTTTTTCTGTTCTTTCATTTGGTACCTGTTTTTTTGTCTTCTCATTTTGGCTGCCTCCCTGTGTTTGTTTCTGTGTGTTACTTAACGAGCGGTATAGGGCTAGCTGAGACCAGATTCTGCTCATTTGAAAGAATTTAGGAAAACCTGAAGCAGGATCCAAGACAGGCCAATCCTATGGTTAAGCAACTAGCAGCAGCTTGGGTGGGCCTGAAAGTTGGGTGGGGCGGGGCCTCAGGGAGTCACCAGGGCGGGGCTGCCAGTGTGAGCCAGGTTGCTGGAGTCCCAGATATGGCTTCTGTCTGCCGCCCCTGGGAAGGGCTCAGGCTCACCAAAGGAACAAAGGCCTCTGACAGCACATTTGTCCCAGAGAAAGCCCCCTCTTCAGCCCTCGCTCCAGTGCCAAACAGCTCAGTTCTTCCCTGTATGTCTCTGGTGCCCCTTGAGCTGCCTCCCCTCTGAGCTTAGAGGGAGAGAGTCCGATAAGTCCGTGCGCGGGCCCTTTAAGAGGAGCTGCCTAGGGCTCCAGCTGCGTCAGCCTCCCTGAGCCTCAGTTCCCGCTGGTTTTTCCAGCCAGAAGTGATGGGGATTCTCTTCCTGGCACTGGAACCCTGAGTGGGGCACCTGGTGTGGGACAGGGACCCCTCAGTCCTCAGGAAGGACCTTCCCAGCTGAGGTGTCCTCCTGATTTTTATCCGCCACACGTGGGTGTGTCCGCCCGTCCTACCAGTCTGGATGTGGCTGCTGCTTTAATTCCGTAGTTGTAGGACTTCCATTCAGCTTGATTTCAGGCGGTTTTGAATGATGGTTGTTCTGTATTTTACTTGTAACTTTGATGTGGTTGTGGGAGGACGCGATACCGCGTTTACCTACCCGCCATCCTGACCAGAAGTCCGATCGTTGTTCTCTCTCATTGATATTTCTCTCTCTCTCTCTTCCTCTCTCTGTAAAAAAAATCAATTAAAAAATAAAGCCCTGGCCGGTTTTCTCAGCGGTTAGAGCGTCGGCCTGCTGTCCAGAGAGACCCGGGTTCGGTTCCCGCTAAGGGCACGTACCTTGATTGTAGTTCGTCCGCGGCCCTGGTTGGGCGTGTGGGTGGCAGCCACTCGATGTGTCCGTTTCACGTTGATGTTTCCCTCTCTCTCTCTTCCTCTCTCTCTCTCTCTCTTCCTCCCACTCTATCTGATCAAAAATTGGAAAATGTCCTCAGGTGAGGATAAAAAAAAAAAAAAATCTAAAAAAAAGAAAGAAAGAGGAAAAACAAAGCGAAAGGCTGACCGTTGGTGGTTTCCAGCTTGTCCCGGAGCCCGGGAGGCGTGGTGTCGGGCCGCCCAGCGGACTTCCTCGTGGGAAAGAGGTCCTTGGAGGTTAGTCTTCTCTCTCCTGCCTCAGAGCTGGGGACCCACTGATCCTGGCCAGGTCCCAGCACAGAGTGCTGCAGGCGGAGGCTTGTGTTTCTGTCATCGTGACACAAACCATCTGTGTTATCCACCAGGCCATGTTCATTGTCATTACCCACTGAAGGCAGAGTCGTAAGGAGCTGGGTGTTATCAGCTCACAAATAATGTGTACTGGGCAGAGTCGGACAGAAACAGTGCTTTTTATTTTGGCAAAGGAGGCTGCATGCCACTCTTTAAAATCTAGGCCAAAAATTATTTATAATGCACAGATAGCCACTCGGAGTGTTAAAAGGTTCCTTTCTTCTCTCCCTGTGTTTGAACACTATGCTGTTTACCCTGGACCCGCAGAAGGACACCCTGTGCCTCACTTTGGCAGCCCCAGCCAGGTGTGACTGGGAGAGCCCACCTGAAGACAGTACTGAGGGGGGAAGGAGGCCCAGGTCCTGCCCAATCCCAAGGACAGGAATGAGCGGTCAGGAGGGTGAAGAGTCCCTTAGGTATGCCTGGTGACCACACACCTCAGGTGAGCATTGAAGAATTACCTCAGATATTATCAGAAGACAGTGCAGACTGAACTGTAATCAAGAGGATGGCTTATGAGCGAGTGTGTTGACATCAAGACAGGTTGTGCAGACGGAGTAGTGTGGCCACCATGCCATCGAGGAGAGGGTGTTTGTGACTGTCCCTGTTTCAGGGCTGCTGAGGGAAGCAGTCTTCACTTGATTCTGACACCTGTAGGTTATGGCACCTACCCAACAAGGTGAGTTCCTCTGATGAGAACAGGCACCAGCACCCTGCCTTGCCTGCCTGCGGCCTCCTACAAGCGATCAGCTCCCCCAGGCTCCGTATCCTGAGCCCCGGCATGGCTGGAGCAGGGATCTGGCCTGGGCACGGGTCCTGCTGCTGTGGCCCGTGAGCCTGCAGTGAGCTGACTTTTGGAATGTTCTGTCCTGGGTGAATTTGGAAGGGTAGGTCAGCTTTCCTAGCCCTACGTCTCCTTTGAATAAGCTAGATTTAGATGAGGAACTTATCCTGTGAAGCTGAGAGCCAGCCCCTGGGCCTGTGGTGTGTCATTAAGGATCCAGCCTCTGGAGGGTCCTGCTCCCCAAACTCCCTCTGCTGAGGGCAGGCCTCCTGCACTGTGTGCCATACTCAAGTTCCCAGGGGTCCCCTCCCTTCACTGAGCATCTCTGCTTGGCTCTCTTCTTAGGTGTGCAGTGTCGTGTGTCATTTTTAAATAAACTTTCTTTTTAGAGCAATTGTATGTTCACAAAAACACACACACACACACACACACACAAAAACAAAAATGTACAGAGATTTCGCATATAACCCCTGTCCCTACTTATTCACAGCATCCCCCATTATCAACACCCCAACCAGAGTGGTGTGCTTGCTGTAACTGATGAACCAACGGTGTTTGACTCATCATTACCACTAGTGTCCATGTTTGGCATCAGGGTTCACCGTTGGTGCTGAACATTCTGGGGGTTTAGATGAATATACAATGACAGATATCCACTGTGATAGTATCATAGAGAGTACTGTCACTGCCCTCAAAGTCCTCTGAGCTCCCCCACTCACCCCTCACACTTCAGCCCCTGGTAGCCACTGACCCTTCTCCTGTCTCCGCGATCCTCCTTTCCGGAGAGTGTTCTGGTTGGAACCACACAGTGTGCAGCCATTTCAGATTGCTCTTCCCACTTGGCGACATGCGCTGAAGGTCCCTCCATGTCATCTCTAAGAGCTCAGCCATCTTACCAGCATGACAGCACAGCACTCCCTGTCACACATCGGCCCTGAATTAGGGTCACTTGCAGATGGTTTCATGTAGGGTGTGCCCTGTCTCCCAGGCAGGATAACCAGCTCTGGGGCGGTGGCTTGGACACATGCCCTGGGTGGCACTGGCCCTCTGCTGGACACTCAGGATGCTGGCTACCCTCCATGATTTGGTGCCAAAGGCTGAGTTCTCTGAGCTGGGGGGCATGGTTGGGCTAAAGAGGGACTCAGAGCGAACCCCACTGGGCTGCAGCATCTGAACAGCATGTTCTTTGCCCTGTCAAAGTCAGAGCCCTATGAAGTCAGAGTGAGTGGCATCTGCCGACAGCTCATCTGTGTACAATTTTGCATCTGAGTGAGTACTTATCTATTAATGCTGTCTCTCTTTGTGGCTAAGGGTCTCCTTTATTCAGTTCTGAACTGTGGCAAATGTTACTTTCCCTGAAAGACACTTGATAGGATGATCACAGCAGAACGTGCACCGATAGAAAGTATCTCCGTTCCATAAGAGAACCTTTATGATGGAGAATGTTCCAGTAACCCATGTGTTTTGTGTTGGCAGAGCTTCTCGAAACAAGTCTGAGAAGAAGCGTCGGGACCAGTTCAATGTTCTCATCAAAGAGCTTAGCTCCATGCTCCCTGGCAACACCCGGAAAATGGACAAAACCACTGTGCTGGAAAAGGTCATCGGATTTTTGCAGAAACAAAATGGTAAAAGTTATGCCTCTCTTAGTTTGTATCCCATGCCTGCCCTTCCACTGGAGTGACTTCATTACATGGGGCTTCCTGCCAGGGTCTCTCCCCTGCAGAGCTCAGTCACATCGTCAGAGACGCCCTCTGCCCAGGGCACACTGCCCTCTGTAAGAATCCCTCTCTAGCAGGTCTGAGGAGGACACTGACCTCCTAAATTGCTTTTTTAGCTGGAAGAGATCATCCAAAGCAGCCTCACAGGTGACACCCAGCCCCTTGGAGTGGCATGAGCAGTGGGGTGTCTTGATTAATAAGCATTTTCATGCAGCCCTGCGGCAGTGCAGTACCCATACTCACTCTCCCCTGGAGCAGGCGCTGCTGGGTCCTCCGACCACCTCTTGTCACCGCCCCTCATCAATCTTACCTTCCACGCTCCACCATGAAAAAATAAATTGAAAATCATTAATTCACTTATAAATTTATTTTTATTGAGACATAACTCACACACTATAAAATTCACCATCTTAAATTTGTAATTGAGTGGTTTCTAGTATATTCACAAGGGCGTGCAGACACCGGCACTGTCCACTGTTTTCATCCCAGTCACTTCCCACGTGTCCTCCTCCAGTCCTGGCCACCGCTCGTCTTCTTTCTGTCTCTAGGTGTACCTATTCTGGGCATTTCAGAGAAATGGAATCATAATATGTGGTGTGTGTTTTCTGGCTTATTCCATTTAACATCCATATTTTAGCAAGTTTTCTTATTTCCTTCCATTTTATGCCAAGTAATATCTGTTGTATGGGCATACCACATTTTGCTCATCCAATTATCAGTTGATGTATATTTGGGTTGTTTCCACTTTCTGGCTGTCACTAATAATGCTGCTGTCGGGATCCCATCGTGGCAGCAGACTAGGGAAGTTCCGTCCACCGGACCAGACTTGCGGATAAACTGCAGAACATTCGACTTGAAAAACCAGCTGAACAATAGCTGATCTGAAATACTGTGAGCGGGGAGCGTGGAGCGAGGACAGGAGAACGCAGGCTGGATGAGCCAGCTCCTCAGCTAACAGTGCGACTGGGAATCCAGAGGGAAGGTGCGGCAGCGCGGCCCCTGCCCACTGGGGGTGTGGGGGTCTCAGCCTCATGCAGGAACCCCCAATACAAAGCAACACAAGGGAAGAGGAGTCCACATATTATCCAGCAGTGGGAATCAGTGGTGATTCATTCCACCTGGGAGACTCAGACCCCACTATCCCAGACAAAAAGCAATTGCTTTGTTACAACACCAGCCTGGGAAGTTCACCTGACCTTTGTCTGCAGGAGCAGCCATGCAGCAGAACTGCAGACTGGTGGAGGGGTCTCACTGGTTCACTCAGCAGTGACTCTGAGGGACTGATTATTCTCTGAAAGAACTTTTGGTGGAGAGCTGGAAGGGAGCCAGACAGAGGGCCCTGGGAAAGAGGAACGATCCTCTTCACCTTGAGTGGAAGGAGGCCCTCCTTCCCCTGCCTGTGGAATGGCTCTGGGCGAGAAATCCACACCACTGCCGCTGGGCCTGCAGACTCAGACATCTGGCCTGGTGGAAGCCAGGGCAGAAGCCTGACCCAGCAAGGGCCAGCCATGCTGAAAGATTAGAGAGCCAAGTGGGGCTCGGGTTTTTGTTTTGTTTTTTTAATATCTGCTCCTACTTGGGGTAGTGACAAGGGGGTGCCAGAGATCCAAGCAGAGCTGAGGCATTGGAAGAGGGGAAGTACCTGCCCACCCCTCCTACAGCCTATAGGCACCCCCCTCAACACGAGTCTGTTTAAACCACCCTGACCAGGACCCAATTACCCCTGCAGCGCCCCGCACCATGGGGAAGGAAAAGCAGCACAGAACAGGGCTATTCAAGGTATGAGACCTAAGGCAGACCCAGCTTCTGGGTTATGAAGGCCCCATCCACTGACTACTTGAGGATCCACACTGCCAGGCTTCAGTCAGGGCTGGGCAGGAACAGCGATTCACAGTGGCTTGTACCAGAGAACTTCCTGGGAGGCCTGGGACCCACACACCAGAGGGAAAATACAAGAACATTGGAGCAAAATCCAGCAAGCTCCAAAAATAGCAGAGACAAAGGGTTTTCTTGTTGTTGTTTTTTTTATCTTTCTTCTCTTTTCTCTTTCATATTCTCTTATTTCTCTTTTTCCTTTTAGTCTATTCTTTTTTCTTCCTTTCTTTATTATTTTTTATTTTCAATTTTATTCTTTATATTCCTGTTTTTCTTTTCCTATTTTATATTTTATTCATCATTATTACTTTTAAATTATTATTATTTTATTTATTTATTTCTTTTATTTTTATACTTACAGTTGTCCCTCACCACTTCACACTTTGATTTCCGTGGCTTCACTCTATTGTGGATTTTTCAAATATAGTCTAGTACTTGAAAAAACCACAGTAGAGCAAAGCCGCAAAAGTCGAAGCACGAAGTGGTGAGGGATGACTGTATACTAAATAAAGAATCCTACTTTGCAGAAATTCATTTATTGTGGTACAATCTGGAACTGATTAATGATGGCTGGCTGTATTCTATTTCTTGTCTCTTCCTTTTCTTTTATATTTTTCTTTTTGACTCTATTTTCTCTCCTCTAATTCTCTTAGTTTCTTGTCTTTCAGTATTCCTTTTTCTTTAGGTTTTCTCATTGTGTTGTTGTTTTTGTTGTTGTTGGTTTTTTGTGGGGTGGTTGTGTTGTTTCAGTTTGGTCTGGTTTGTCTTGTTTTGTTCTGTCAGCACCTGTATAACAGTTGGCATGGCATGGTCGGGGTTGAAACCCAAAGTCAGCAAGCCTGAGCGTTGAACCCACCCACGAACAGGACAACAGCAATCAAGACTCAAATTCAATAGGAGGGCCTTCATAACCCACACAAGGGACATTTCTAGAGCAACCAGCTCAGAAGATTAAGGAGAATATACCACTGGGTCTCTCAACCAAGGCTCGGAGGCATAGCAGTCTTATCCAATACACAGGAACAAACACAAAGAAATAGAAAAAGTGGGGAAACAGGCCTCAAATGAGAGAACAGGAGGAATCTCCAAAAAAAGAGCTAAATAAAATGGAGGCAAGCAATTTATCAGACACAGAGGTCAAAGTAATTGTTATAATGATGTTTTAAAAACTTAGTGAGAACTATAAGAAACTTAATGAGAACTACAAGGAACTTAGTGGGAACTATACCCACATGAAAAAAAGACATGGAGAGCATGAAAAAGAACCAGTTGGAAATGAAGAATGACAGTGCTGAAATAAAGAATACCCTGGAAGGAACTAACAGTAAGTTAGAAAAAGCTGAGGATCAAATCAGCTAAATAGAAGACAAGGTAAAAAAAAAAAAAAAAAAAAAATCACTCAGAACAGCAAAAAGAAAACAGTACTTAAAAAACATGAGGACAGTTTAAGGGAACTGTGAAACAACATGAAACAGAGCAACATCTGCATCATAGGAGTACCACACAGAGATGAAAGTGAGCAAGGGATAGAGAACCTATTTGAAGAAATATTGACAGAAAACTTTCCTAACATGTGAAGGATAAAGTGACACATGTTTTTGAGGGGAAGAGAGTCCCAAATGAAATGCACACAAAGAGATCCACAGAAAGACACATCATAATTAAAATGGCAAACATTCAAGACAAAGAAATAAGTTTAAGGACAGCAAGAGAGACAGTCAGTTACTTACAAGGGGCTCCCGTAAAGCCATCAGCTGATTTCTCAACAGAAACACTACAGGTCAGGAGGGAATGACATGAAGTATTCAAAGTAATGAAATGCAAGGATTGGAAAACAAAACTGCTCTATCCAGCAAGACTATCATTCAAAACTGAGGTGAAATAAAGAGCTTCACAGACCAAAAATAAAGCTAAAGGGAGGAAGTGGAGGAGAAGGACAAGAAAGAAGAAAGAAGAGAGGGGGAACATGTGCCTAAAGAACAAAAATGGCAATAAATAAGGACCTATCAATAATAACCTTAAATGTAAATGGTTTAAATGCCCCAATCAAAAAACACAGGTAGCTGAATGGATAAGAAAACATGACCCATATATATGCTGTCTACAAGAGACCCACCTCAGAAAAAAAGACTAACATAGGATGAAAATGAAGGGATGGAAAAAATTTTCCAGGCAAATGGAAACAAAAAAGCTGGAGTAGCAATACTCATATCTGACAAAATAGACTTCAAAGCAAAGACCATAACAAGAGACAAGTTCACTACATAATACTAAAGGGGTCAACCCAACAAGAGACTATAACCATGGTAAACATATATACACCCAATACAGGAGCAACAAAATATATTTTAAAACTTCTGATAGACTTTAAAGGAGAAGTTGACAGCAATACAAGCACAGTAGGGGACTTTAACACCCCACTGACAACACTAGATAGATCTTCCAAATTAAAAAAAAAAAAAATCAACAAGAAAACAGCAATCTTAAATGACACAATAAATCATATGGATTTAATTGATATCTACAGAACATCTTATCCCAAAGCTGCATAAAATTTATTGTTCTCAAGTGCATGTGGAACATTCTCAAAGACAGACCACATATTAGGACACAAAATAAGTTTCTACAAGTTTAAGATGATTGAAATCATAACAAGCATATTCTTGTACCACGATGGCACAAAACTAGAAATCAACTACAATTTTAAAAATTCAAACACATGGATGCTAAATAGCATGTTATTAAACAATGAATGGGTTACCAATGAGATCAAGGAAGAAATAAAAAACTTTCTGGAAACATATAAAAATGAACACAACAACACAAAATCAATGAGACACAGCTAAAGCAGTCCTGAGAGTAAAGTTCATAGTAGTACAGGCCTACCTCAAGAAACAAGAAAAAGCTCAAACAAGCAATATAACCCTACAACAAAAAGAATTAGAAAGAGAACAACAAGAAAAGCCCAGAATAAGTAGAAGGAAGGAAATAATAAAGATCTGAGCAGTAATAAATGACATAGAGACTAAAAA